TCCTGTTTCTTTTTCTTCTACCAAAGTGTCTTGCTGCCTTAGCTCTTGACCCTAATAATCTGCTGTAAAAATATAAGTAAGATTATGTCAGTCCTTTGTCAATCCTCTTCTGAGTTTCCATCTCACTAAAAGGAAATGCTACAGTCTTCATTTTTGCCTACACAGCCCAAAATGCACCCCTTCTACATGTCCTACGACTTTACATTTTCCTTCACTCCACTCTAGCCATACAGTCCTCCTTGAGCATTTCAGGCTTGCTCCTACCTCAATGCCTTTACACTTGCTTTTTCTTTTGCCTGGAATGTTCTTCTTTGAGATTTTCACATAATTAGTTCGCTCACTTCCTTCAGGTCAAATTAAACCTTGTTAGTACAGCCTTCCTTAAGAACCCTATGTAATACCCTTTCCCTAGTCCACACACACTGCCTATGATTTTTGGCTTGCTTTACTTTTCTCCATTGCACTTAGCAGTACTTGACATACTAGATATTAACTTACCCATTTACTTCCCACAATAGAGTAGGTTTTATGAGGACAGTGATTTGATATACCATTTTGCACAGTTTTTTTTAGCCGTGGGCATAGAACAATACCTGACTCACAATGGGTGTTCCATGCATGTTTGTTGAATGAATGGATATGTAAAAAATGGTAATAATACCTGAATTGAAGTGGAAATAATATATGATATATTAACCCAGGATTATAACGTGTTAGCATTTATGGCTTCTTGGGTTCTACATGATTGTTGAATGATGCTAAATAATTCTTACAGACAGCATAACCCTGTTTTGTTGAAGTCAGAGATGGCATGTCTTGCTCATATAAAATGGATAATATCCCTGTAAATATAAATGGAAATTGTAAGCCAGGAGCTGGTCTACATATATAAGGCAGGAAAAAAGAACTTAAGTTTTCTTTTTTCCTTTCATTTTTTTAAAACATGTTCCCCACACAGAGATAAAAATAGTGTCAGCTTTGAACTTGAAAAATGACATTATATGTGCAGTAGCACATTTTTCATTTTATGTATAACTTTTGACAATTATGTTAAATGTATTTTTAACCTATAGATTTGTATTAATATTGACTGAGGTTCAACTTTCCATTCACTGGCATTTAAATTTCGTACTTTTAACTTTACATCTGTTTTTTTTGTTTTTCAAGTTCCAGCAAAGAAATTGGAAGAAAAGACACACATAAAAAAATTTAAGAAGTAGGCACTTGGAAAGTTTATTGCCAAATAACTCCAGTAGCACAGGCTTTTTAAAGTAGTCTCAGTTTAAATTTGTTCCTGTCACTCCTTTTAGTTCCTATGTGGGCCTCCCAGTAGGAAATCATGTAACAGATGAAACACTACCCTCCTATGAGGAGTCTTCCTTAACACCTTAGCTCATATGCTCCTTAACACAGTTGTTCCTTTTCCCAAACTCTAACCCTAACCACGACACTTTTTTCATATCATTATTATGGTGATCATTGTTATTATATTTTTCTATAGACATCATTTCTCATATGTTGTTTTAGCCATGCAGTCAAAAATCTTTGAGTTGCTGAGCCTCAGCCAGGCATTGTCATAGTCTCTGGTTACACAGATATTTGAGACATGATTTTAGCAACTCTTTCCCTTTATTACATTGTGATTTCTTTGAGGTTCAGTAACTGAGGTGCTTATCTTAATGTGCCTTGGCAATTAGCACAACACTAAATAAATATATGTAGAATGAATGAGTGAGGGTCTTGATTATAGTGGGAGTTTCTGAGAACACGTCATGTCTATGTTTTCAGTGCTAAATGCACAACCCAGCACGTAATGAAAGCTCAGCAGATTTTAAATGGAAGTGGAAGGTAAATAATGCCAGTCAACAGGTCATCTTTCACTCTGGTTTGTGGGACAAGCCAACATTAAAGTACATGAGAAGAGGATCTGTGAGTTTTCCTGTGGTTTAATTAGGCCTTTATTGCTTCTTTGCAGTCCCTTTTATGTACATGCAGCGGCCTGGCAATTAACAGAGGAATGCTGTAGATCGATTAGCTGAGTGTGCCAGAGTATGACTAGTCACCCACAGAGGGTGCTGAGCCTCATTGAGGAGGACCACATTTGGAGGCTGATGCTTCCACGCAGTTAATTCTCTAGCAGACTTTGATTATGTCTGCGACACATGGAATCACTCTTGAAAATTTGGGACAGGTTTGGTGCCTGAAGGACTTGTCAGAACATTTCAGGGTTGTTACCGCCAGGTGGGTGAATAAAGTTTGAAAAGTTAATTGGATATTTCCCAAATGAAACTTGAAAATTGAACTCATCAGGAAGTGTTTCCCAGCATGTACCCATTTTTAGGTATCAGTAATTCTTAATTTAAATGGTTTTGATTTCACCTGGTACATTTAATCAACAGTTTTTGTACTTTTTAACCCAAATACATGTTGCTTCTTACCAGAGGACAATTATTGTGATTACTTTGTATGTGTGATAGAATTTCTAAACTTTTGCAAGACCAATAAGCTTTTTGATATCTAGAACATACCTTATTCATCTGTGTATCTCTAGCTATAACATACTTTCTGACACATGGTAAATATTCATTATTATTTTGCTGAAAGATTGACTAACAGGCTAAATGTATGAGTGAATAAATTTATTTACCAGATGACTTGAGATCATCACAGTATGGAAGCTCTAAATATAATTGCTAAGTAAAATGGCAAGGGGTGTGTGACAGAGTTTGCTCTTGTTTCCCAGGCTGGAGTGCAATGGCTCAATCTTGGTTTACCACAACCTCCACCTCCTGGGTTTAGGCGATTCTCCTGCCTCAGCCTCCCAAGTAGCTCAGATGATAGGCATACACCACCATGCCCAGCTAATTTTGTATTTGTAGTAGAGCAGGGTTTCTCCCTGTTGGTCAGGCTAATTGCAAACTCCTGACCTCAGACAATCTGCCCCCCTCAGCTTCCCAAAGTGCTGGGATTACAGGCATGAGCCACCACACCCGGACTTGTAATTTTTATTTCACAAATAACACGTGAATACACCCTGCCTATAATAATTAAATGCATTGCAGGCAAGGTACCCTTGACTAGAACACCTAATCTCTTTTATTTCTTTTTCTTTCCTTTTCTTTTTTTTTACAGTCAAGGACAAGCAATTTTTTATTCTGCATTTGAAAAAGATTGTTAATTTAATAATTACTGCAGAAATCAAAGGTGAAATGCTTCATTAAATCAGTTTTATTTCTAGAGGTTACAACTGTGATCAGTTTGGCATGTTTTCTTCCAGATTTTGTGTTTTGCAAATTACAATTATATGTTTTCTGAGTGTGAGAGTGTATGCATATACATATATACATACAATTATATATTTTGAGTGTATATTGAACTCTTATACTCTCAGAAAATATAATTGTGCAGCTGTGGGTATATGTACATGTGAGAAAGAGATAGAGTTGGACTTTAAGTAGTGGTATATTCTGTAATTTAGGTTTTCTAAAATTTGCTTATTTCAGTCAGTAATGTTTTCAAGATCCATTTGGGGATATTTGGATTTATCTCATATTTGACTAAATGCTTGCTATATTAAGTGGCTTGGCTACACAACATTTCTACCTATTTCCTATTTAAATATTTAAATTGCTTCTAAGTTTTCACAGATTTTAGGAATGATGTAATGAACATCCTTAGACACACATCCTTCTGTATGTAGGTAAGTCTTTTTATATCTAAAATAATTACTAGGTCGCTGGATAAACATACTTAAAATTTTAAGAGATATTGCCAAAGTTAACCTGCAAAGTGGCTATACAAATTTACATTTTCACAAACAGTGTAAAAAAGCATCAGTTTCCTCATATATGCACCACCATTTTATGCTACATAAGTTTTTAATTTTTGCCAGTCTTTTTAGCTAAAATAGCATCTGATTTTAGTTTTATTTTGAATATCTTGTGTCACTCCTCATGTGTAAGGCTGAACATTCTCATGTGTTTATTACCTGTTTCTATTTTCTCTTCCTTAGATTGCCTGCCTCCCCTTCTAGTTCTAATTTAATAAATAATGGAAAGAAGAATATGGTAATCTCAATTAGACTCCATTAGGCTTAATGTAACTTTAGTGAGGGCCTATTGCTGTAGAGCATCTTTCTCTGGATTTACTTGTGCATTTGTTTCTCCATTTATTAATCAAATCCAAATTTAGCACACACTGTTTGTCAAATGTATACTGAGTTTGGAGATAGAAGAGGTAACAGTCATGGTTCCTCCATACAAAAGTATGAAGTTAGAGGGAAACATCTGCCAGGGCCTCAAGCCCACTCCCATATTGTTGATGGCATTTCTCATAGCAGTGTTGCTAACATTTACAAACCTGTTGATGTTTTTGATTCTCTTTTCCCCAAGAGAATATTTGATATCCAGTATTCGTCTACTGTTAACAGAAATGATCTTCTGTTGTTTATGGCTCAAGTTTTTACGGATGCTTGTATATAGGGATGAATCCTTTTTTAGAAGATAGATTCGCTGCTATTGCAAATTTACAGAATGAAAGGAAAAATAGATAATTATCTCATCTTTCTAGCCTGTGTCTTGATGGGATCAATTTCCTACCTGCTTATTATGCATAGGGCAGGTCATTACTTCCAGATGGTAGTAATGATGCTTATTTACTGGAAAGGAGTGGTAGAACTGGGAGGCTGTATAAAAGGTTTAGAAGTGGTAAACGCATGTCTGAGAATTTTTAGAGAAAGTATTAAATCCCAAGGGGTCTCAAGATTCTACCTTAAAAACATTATTTTAGGTTCAGCAGTACATGTACAGGCTTTTTATGTAGGTTGATTGCATGTTGCAGGGGTTTTGTGTACAGATTGTTTCATCGCCTTAGTAGTGAGCATAGTACCTGATAGGTAGTTGTTTGATCCTCACCTTCCTCCTACTCTCCACACTCAGGTAGGCTCCAGTGTCTGTTCTTTTCATTGTGTCCATATGTACTCAATGTTTAGCTCCCACTTGTGAGAACATGCAGTATTTTGTTTTCTGTTACTTTGTTGGTTCACTTGGATAATGGCCTTTAGCTCCAACCAGGTTGCTGCAAAGAGTAAGATCTTGTTCTTTTTTTAATGGCTGCATAGAATTCCGTGTGTGTGTGTGTGTGTGTGTGTGTGTGTGTGTGTGTGTTTATGCACCACAGATTTTTATCCAGTCTACCACTGATGAGTATTTAGGTTGTTTCTATGTCTTTGCTATGGTGACTAGTGCTGCAGTAAACATACTGATGCATGTGTCTTTATGGTAGAGTTATTTATATTCCTTGGGATACATACCCAATAATAGGATTGGCAGGTTAAATGGTAATTCAATATCCTATTTCTTAAAACCTTAGAAAGAATATTCTTTACAGAAAGCCTGAATCTAACATTTAGTTTTAATTCCACTGATGTGCTACCTTGTATATCAGCATGTGGTAAGAATGTATAACTTCAACTAGATTTACAAGTGGTGCTGGTGAAAAGCTGAAAGCAAATAGATCTGAATGGGTGTGAAGACAACAAGAACAAAATACTCACTACCACCATTTATTATCAGGAACTCTTGGAAGAGTTTTGCCTGAATTTACCTTTGTAATCCTGATGGTAATCTTTTAAGTTGCATATTTGTATTTCAATTTTATTTATAAGAAAGGTTAAGAACTTCTTAAACGGTTATTCAGCCACTATTATTGTACAAGAGTTCTTTCTCTGAGCCATTGCCAGTGAAGCTGAAAATCCATTATTTGTTTTCACCATCACATAGGAGACAAGGGACACCTTGGAGTGACCTGGCAGGCAATTCCTTGTGCTTTTATACTCCTGGTTCTTTCTAAGGTTCTGACCTCAAACAGGGTGAAGAAGAAGAGATTTAGGGTCTGTCTGTATGAATATATCAGTTTTTAATCTGTCCTATGTTAATATTACAAAGGGAAAATGTGTATTTTTAAAATTTTGAAACAAATACACTTAATGTAATAAAATGTGTTGTTTTGGCCATCTTTGTTCTTCATGTTTTAATGAAATACAAATACTAGTATATAATAAATACCTGTCATTCCAAAGAAAAAGGTAATTTTTTTCTGACATTAAAGTGAATGGCCTCATTTTGAATGCATTAGATTGTTGATTGGTTTGTAGCCTGATGAAATGTGAGAGCACTGTGACTCATCATCCAAGCAAGGTAGCTGTTCATGCTATCAAATGATGAAATGGCATTTATCTGAATGACTGATCAAGTTTCATAGCCAAATTTGTAGATGGCTTTTACGATATGTTGCGAAAGACAACTGTTGGCAGCCCATGCAATCACTGTTTTTGCAACAAAGTGTATTTATGCAGGGAATGGGCTTTGGAATCCCATAGACTTGGGTTTGTATTCTTTCTCTTCCATTTGTTTTGTGACCTATAGGACAAATTACTTAACCTCTCCAAGTCCTAATTACCTCATTGCAAGATGTGATGATAGTAAAATCTATTTCATAGACTGCCATAAGAATTATATGAGGAAATGCATTTAGAGCCCTTGGCAAGGAGGGTGTGTTCAATATATGTTAGCCATTATCATCATTACTTAAGAAATGAACCAAGGGGTAGTGTTTCTCAAAATATAGTTACTGAATGCCTGCATTTGGATCACCTAGAATGTTTGTTTAAAATCTTACATCCTTCTAATCCAGAGCTCTTGATTCGAAATCTCTTTGAGGGGAGAGTGAGCATAGTAGAATTTTCACAGTAGGACTCACAGAATTTATGCATGCTTAATGCGCAAACCATGGCTACAGGAAGAATTGAAGCGGTAGTGATGTCATATACCCTGGTTCAGCCACATTTATGAGTGACTGCTATATGCCACGAACTGCCGTAGGCATAAGGGAAGTGAATAAGATGGCCTATTTTAAAAATCAGAATGTAAGAGAACAATAAGCTCTTGTTTCTGTAACAGATACAATTGTAACAATGAGGACAATGAACTGAAGAGGGAATACACATAATTTTGTATTCATGTTTTATTGGAGCCTACAAATGATCACATTTCTACCTTTGAGTGACATAGGGAATCTAAGATTAAATGCACTATCATTTCATTTGTTGTGGTATGAACTGAATTGTGTGAAGAAGTAATTTTCATCTGTTTGGTAGATTGCATAAAAACTGGGTAGGATGATTTTTGCTTCTTTTTAGAAAAGCATTTTTAGATAAGTGTTTTCCATTTCTGTACACAAGAGAGAGATGTAAGGAGAGTTAAAGAACTCTTTGGCTTCAAGGCCTGATCCAGTCTATTCTAATCATATGAACTTCCAGAATTTAAATTGCTTTTGAAATTGGACCTTCAGGCATGGTTCTTCTGTAGAATGCCTGATGTTTTTCGAAATGCACGGATTAGATTACGTTTGAATTTTTTTTCATTTAGTGGAAACATAAATTCTTTTGGAGTTGGCTGTCATAAAATTTATAACAATAATTTGGAATGTCCACAGATGTCATCAATGAAGCACTTGCACATTTCCAGTGAAGGTAAAGTTTAGATTCCATATGAACAAGATGCATCCAGTTCTGTGATGCCTATCATCTTGTCACTTTCAAATAATCATCAACATTCACTTATCATGTTGTTGTCTATAAAGTGGTTTTTCTACACATCACATTTGGTCACCATAATAGCCATTATTACTATTAATAATTCACAGCCAAGTTTGCTTTACTTTTGGGTCATTTTGCCTGGCTTGGCTCGAAGTCACTTATGCAACCAGGGTAATCTCTACCCCAGTGACTGTATCATCCTAATGGGAAATTCTTCTTTTCTATACCCACCTTGAACTTCCATGGATTGACCATTAAGGTTTAGTTTCAAAGTCTGGAAACAGTATTATAAGAAGTGAAGACAGCAAAGTCCTGTCTATAGTAGTTAAATGCCTAATGTGCTAGACAGTGTTCTGAGAGCTTTATGTAAATTAATTCATTTAATCCTCCCAATAATTCTATATGTTAAATGCTATTGTCCATTTTACAAATGATGAATCAGAGGCCTAGAGAGATTAGGTACTTTTCTTAAGGTCACACAGATTAAAAATCAGTTATGCTAGGATTTGTGCTCTGACAGCCTGACTCTAGTGTCCATGCTGTTCATTGTTATTTTGTACTCCTCTCCAACCTGGTTTGATTAGGAAGATAACTTCACAAGGACCTAAATACCAACATGAAAGTAAAAGTCATAACATTATAGACATTTTACAAAGCAAAAACTGTAAATGCTATGAGATTTTTAGAACAAGGAAGATGGCTTGTGCTAGAATAGTCAGAACAGGCTCTGTGAAAAAGGTGGGAGAGGATTCATTCTTCAGAGGGTGGATGGTGAGTAATTATATATAGCATAGTAGAGTGTAGTGAGGAAGCACAGTCTTTGTAGTAAAATAGACCTGGGTTCAATTTCCAGTCCCTAGATACAGGCTATGGGACTTCTGGCAGATAGCCTCAGTCATCTCTTCTACAAAATAGTAATAATGGTACCTATCATACAGGTTTTATTTCTAGATAGAAAGATGGAAATAGAAAGATGGGGGTGGGATACTAGAGAATAGCTGGGACAAAAATTTGAAAAGCACACTATAACTTAAAAGAGAGTAAATCATTTATCTAATGGAAGAGATGGGGCCTATGTAGGAGTAATGAGACATATTTGAAAACAGAATTTGGGATCAGACTATAGTAGAAGCCTTTTAAGGAATTTACTGCTTGAGAGTTTAGGGTTTGGCAGACATCCTTGGTTCAGCCTTTTCCTACCAGGATAACCTGGACATATTACTTAACCTCCCTCTGCCCAAGCCTTCCTATCGTAAAATAAGGATGAAGTAAAATGAGATATGTAAATATTTAATCCCAGTGTGTAAAACATGTTAATGGTCAATTAATGTTACATACTAATATTAATATCTATAGTAATAGTATTCAGCAGAAAAAATATTTGTTTGCCCAAGGAAGTAAAATGATGAGAATAACATTTTGGAATAAAGTACTGGCAGTCTACCAGGTGAATTAGAGAGGAGTCTGAGGTAGGGAAACCAAGTGAGGGTGAGGTTAGGGGTAGCCTTTAGATACGGCGGGCAGGAAATGCTGAGGGCAATTGAAACGAAGTCCAATGGAGGATCTGCAGAATTCTTACAGCTAGATACAAAACTTTGTAGGGATCTAAGTATGAGCAAATGAGGGCCTGGATAGGGTGGTCACAATGTGAATGAAATGAAAGGAATGGCTGTGAGAGGGGTTTTAAAGGAGATATTGAAGGACTTGGAGACTACCTGTTAAAAAGGCAGTGAAAGAAAGAAAGACTGCAGGGAAATATGATACCAAGTTTCTGAGTCTACATTCTGATAGGTTGACAGAAATTGAAAAGTCGAGAAGGAACTGACCAGGGGTCAATGAGGTTCATTTCAGAGATGTAAAATTTGACTCAACAGAAGGATCGATGAATTGAAAATATTGGATGAGAAATTCACAATATGAATTATAAATCGTTCTACTATAAAGACATATGCACACGTATGTTCATTGCAGCACTGTTTGCAATAGCAAAGACTTGGAACCAACCCAAATGCCCATCAATGATAGACTGGATAAAGAAAATGTGGCACATATACACCATGGAATACTATGCAGCCATAAAAAAGGATGAGTTCATGTCCTTTACAGGGACATGGTTAAAGCTGGAAACTATCATTCTCAGCAAACTGACACAAGAACAGAAAACCGAACACCACATGTTGTCACTCATAAGTGGGTGTTGAACGATGAGAATACATGGACACAAGGAGGAGAACATCACACACTGGGGCCTGTTGGGAGGTGGGGGAGCTAGGGAAGGGATAGCAGGGGGTGGGGGTTTGGGGAGGGATAACATTAGGAGAAATACCTAACATAGATGACAGCAGGATGGATGCAGCAAACTGCCATGGCATGCGTATACCTATGTAACAATCCTGCACAATCTGTACATGTACCCCAGAACTTAAAATATAATTAAAAAAAAATTTAATAAAAAGAGATTCACG